AATGGGGTGTGGGGTTTCTCAAGGAGGTGTACTTTCGCCCATTTTATTCAATATATATACACATGAGCTTCCGAGTATACCATTGTCAAGAGGGGTTTCGTGTTGCGCTTTCGCTGATGACTTCAAATTATATCGGGTGGTCATGGATGAATGGTATACTTATACTTACGTATGAATGGTATACTAAAACGTCATTCAAAGCATCTTGTAGGTTTTCACGTCTGTTGGACGTGAAAACCTACAAGATGCTTTGAATGACGTTTTTACCTGGTCGCAGGAGTGGGGTCTTCCCATTTCAAAGTCAAAAACCAAAGTTCTCCATACAGGCCCAAACAATTTACGTTTTTCGTATTCAATGGGAGATGTTAAACTTGAGTCGGTTGACTCAATCAGAGACTTAGGCTTCTTAGTTACAAAGAATCTCATTTTTGATGAGCATTGCAAGAATATTGCCGATATCAACAGTAGCTGTATACAATCTGTTTAGGGCACTTGTAACTAAGGACCCCGTTATTCTTTTGAAAGCCTATAAATCTTTCATAAGACCTACGCTCGAGTATGGAACTATTATATATAGCCCTTTTAAGCGTAAAACTGTTCATTACCTTGAAAAAGTACAGAACAGCTTTACTCGTAAGTTGTTGATTAGAACCGTTGGTTTCCTATATGATCAGATTCCTAACAGTGACATACGTAACAGAAATTTTGGACTATCTACTCTAGCGAGTAGAAGACGAAAGTTTGATTTGATACTGGCTCATAAGATAATCTACGGCCAATGCGGCCTTAACAAAAGCGCCTACTTTGCTACCAAGCCTTCTACTACTAGGGGTGGTTCCAGAAAGCTTATCATTCCTAGGTGTAGACTCGCCATACGAAAAAATTTCTATTCATGTCGTGTTCTACATGACGTGGATAACCTTATCAGAGATCGGGCATTTGTAGTAAAACTTTCTACTTTTAAATGTATTCTAGAACGCTATTTGCAAGCTTCTGTTGATCGGTGATGTTCGCTGTTTTTGCGTTATTTCAATTGTTGTTATTTTTGTTGTTTGTTCCTGTTCTCATAGGGACTTCCCTATGCACAATAAATAAATAAATAAATAAATGACACCTACTATGAAAATTGTCCGAAGCGTTGCTCGCTATAGAATAACACTGAAAAAAACAACCAAAGGTAGGTAACACAAGCTCGTCCAGCATAAGCCTCAAATCTCAAAAATATCAACAGTTGGCTTCTAGGGAAGGGAATTGTGAGTAGCCTTTGTACGTGGAAACAGTATTGAACTGAGAAGCTAACTGAACATTGATCCTTGAGCTGTCTTCACTTTTTAAACTCTTCTGGACGAAAGAGTAAGTGTTTTTTGCACTAATAAACCGAATGCGCAGCAACCGTAAAAAATCCTCCTAAAATATTGTGCGGACAAATAAAATGATGCCCTCTCCATTGACATGCTAGTAAGGTTGAGGAAGTTAGCAAAGCATATAAAAGTACAGAAAAAACTCAATCTTTACTGTTAGTCTAGTTTTCTAACATGAGTTTCATGAGCGGTGAGCGCTTGCACCTCTATTGCTAATGTGGGCATAGTTAAGCTATTTGATTTGTTCAGGATAATGCAAGCAAATCTTTGCCACAAAATTCGTAGGTGATCTAGAGACCTCAATTGACTCCTACCCGGTTATTGCTTGGACTGCTCAAGATGAGCACAGTTTGAGCAAGATTTACATCCTCGGTCATGAATACACGCATTTTCTTGAGAACAATTGCTTTAACACATTCATGACGGACCGATTTTTCGATGACTGCCATTTCGCACTAGAGCATATTTTGCAAAATTGAGTTTGCGTAATATTTTTCCTTTGGGAAGTACTCCAAGAGATGTATACAGAAGTTTACTTGGTTTGCCTAGAAAGTTTCGTAGTGGACTAGCAAAATCAAAAACTTCAAAAAGCATACGACCCACCGGTGGGTCGTATTGTCGTGAAAGTGTTAAACGATCACATGAACTGAACTTATGCGCTACGCTTTTATATGTTCTGGAAAAAGATAATGATCAAATTTTATCTTATTTCCAGAATGTCGCACAAAAAATGTCACAATTATTGAAAACAGCTATTCACTCAAAGCTACTCAAGTATAGTGAATAGCGCGTATTTTGAATGTTTTTACTGCAGCTCTTCAATTCCTTATCACGCATTAGGATGATAAATTATGATGTCCTGGTGACAGAAAACGTATGACAGAACATTCTGCATTTTTTGCATCTATATCAAATGGTCCATAGTAGCCGACTATACTCTTGACTTTATATAGACTGCTTATGCCAGACTAGTTTCTGATTTTATGCAGACAACGAATCACAAGCACGCTCTCGCTCTTTCTTCTGCCCAGATTTATATTCAATTTGAGAGCTGGCTGTGAAAAGAAAAAATCACTGTTTCTTCTTCGCAATGTACATGAAAAATTTCGAGAAAGGTCTTTCAAGTCATTATGGGTCATTGGCCTTAAAAAGGCAAACACCTAGTAGATACTTTCCTTGATTTATGCAGATTAAAGGTCTTGACTCTGAATATGGCGTCGAAGCATCACTGTGCTGCTTACAACATATGCCAGTTATGGCTTAAAGGCAGTACATCGGCAGAATGAGACCCGTGACAAAACAAGTTCACAGGGTAGGAGCCCCCATATGGAACCTATCGGCCAAAGTCCGATCGTTCTCTGCCACTTCTAACCTCCGAAATTTCAAAGCGAAAGCAGCGCTTATTTCCTGTCCTCTCCGAATCCGCCCACCCCATGGACGAGTGACTTCCGCGGTCAGAGCCAGCCGCAATGCTGTAAGCATGAGGTCCCGCAACGACTCTGCGTCTTCGCCATGACGGGCTTCGCGTTCACTCGTCCATGGGGTGGGCGGGTTCGGAGAGGACAGGAAATAAGCGCTGCTTTCGCTTTGAAATTCCGGGGGTTAGAAGTGGCAGAGAAAGATCGGACTTTGGCCAATAGGTTCCATATGGGGGCTCTTACCCTGTGACCTTGTTTTGTCACGGGTCTCATAGTGCCGATGTACTGCCTTTAACAATCGGGTGGCGAGCAAGAGGAACGATAGCTTGTGGGTGTCAATAACTCGCGCATCTTTTAACGTCATTTTTGTCCAAAACGCAGAAATCTAGAGCGTTTCCTCCTATTACACTTTCATATGAACAGGAGAATGAGATAGATTTTGTTTGCTTGAGAATGAGATATGAAAATAAGTTTTAAAACCAAAAAAGGGTTTCAAATGTGAAACTTCAAGTATTTCAGGTTTTTTCTTGCAATAACGTTACCAAACTGCATTTATCACTGGGTCTGAGCAAATCTCATCGAGTGAAGCATTTGCTCCAATTTTACTCAAATTTATAAGTCTGAAATCTGCGCATTTTGAGGCAAATATTGCATTGGCAGTAGCGGCTGGCAATTGCTATCGTTGCTCTTGCACCACACCCTTGACAATCGTTCTCTCTTTATCTTCCTCAAAAACCCGGTGAAATCATCGCAAATGTTCAAAAATTTGAGGAAAAAATCATTCAGTGGAAAAAGGAGACAAAGGTCACAAAAGTTGGGAGGATATCAAAGCAAGAGAGCTATCCACATCTTAAGGTGTATGCATACTTTTGGGACACTCTGTACTGTGAAGAGGAGTGGCCGAATAAAAACGAAATTTTTGACTTGTAGGTCACTAGAATACTCACTAGAAGATCTTTTACGATGTCCAGGAATTTCTACTAGAAGACTTTTCACATTTGTCACCTTGTATGTTAGGTGAGTACATCTGTTCTTTGAAGTTCAAAGACATGACATTGCAAGTTCGATCATAACTTCAAAGGTTTTTCCTAATTCCTTTCGATGCAGCAGTTAGCCCTGTTCCTCAAAGCAGTTTGTCAGAACTATGAAAAAATGGGCTCTCAACTATTAGATTGTCAAGAAAATAATGTCGGTTTTTATTTGCTTGCTTTGACAAAGCAACCAGACTCAACAAAAGGTAAGGGATACTGTTCGATAGAGCAAAGCAAGCTCTACAAAAAGGCACTCATGTCTTTGCGCCATGCTCGATCCACGGAGAGTTCGAACTCAAAATTCAAAGATTTTCAAATGCCCAAAAAATCGAAAAAATCAGATCTTCGTCCAAATAATTTCTACGGACCTCCCACTCGCTCACATCAATACTATCGATATCTGATATCCATATGAGCGATTGCCGTATTTTCTCCTTGACTAGAAACTGAAAAAACGAAAGTTTCCCTGATTTTCTCAAAGCAATGCTGAGCCGTTTTTGCATATGTAGTTCTATACTACAAGCCTAGGTAAGCATAACTGTAGGTTTTCAACCTATTTCGAGCGGTACTTTTCGAGAAATGTCGATTTTAGCACTGAAACGAAAAAATCCGAATTCGTTATTTTTCGAAAACTACCGTTTGGAATAGGCTGAAAATCTACAGTTATACTTACCTAGGCTTGTAGTATAGAACTACATATGCAAAAACGCTCAGCATTGCTTTGAGAAAATTAGGGAAATTTTCGTTTTCTCATCTAGTCAAGGAAAAAAATACGGCAATCGCACATATAGATATCAGATATCGATAGTATTGATGTGAACGAGTGGGAGGTCCGTAGAAATTATTTGGACGAAGATCTGATTTTTTTCGATTTTCTGGGCATTTGGAAATCTTTAGATTTGAGTTCGAACTCTCCGTGGACCGAGCATGGCGCAAAGACATGAGCGCCTTCTTGTAGAGCTTGCTTTGCTCTATCGAACAGTACCCCTTACCCTTTGTTGGGTTGAGTCTGGTTGCTTTGTTAAAGCTAGCAAATAAAAAACGACATTATTTTCTTGACAACCTAATAATTCTGAATGCTCAGCAACAAATGTGATATTTCCAAGACTACGCTAATTGTGGACTAGCAACGAATTCAGGAGGGTTTCAGAAGCGGCTTAACGTTCGCAGCGACTGGCCTGTACGAGACGATGAAATTTGCAACTCTGCTCCTCCTTGCCATCCAGGTAAGTATTCCCATGGTGATATTTGGTAGGAAAGATGATTTCAGATTGGCTTGGCTTCACTTTGTGTCTTCCAACGAGAAGATATTGCAAAAGTAGGAAAAAGCTTGGGTTTTAAAGTAGGATTGACAGAAGCCGGTTGCTTCGCTGAGTGCCTCAGTGACAAGAGATGCACCATCCTCTTCTATTATGTAAGCTCTTGACAATTCTAGACAAAATGAAAGAGGGAAATCGAATTTTGTTCAACGTCGATTTATCGATAAGCATCGGTTTACCTGCTTCATCAGAAATTGCTCTCTGCCTCGCGCTGCACACTTACGATATGATAAGTAAAGACGACATTCTGACTTCTATTTTCAAACAGTACTTCGGATTTCAATCAAGCTCAGATTCCATTTTCTGCAATAGTGACTTAATATGTCACAACAACAGGAGTGCTCTTTTCATATCAAATAAAGGAACTGACTTATTCTCGAAGAAATTAGACGCATCTCTTTTGAAGAGAACAAGTGCAGAGATTTGATCGTATTCAAGTTGAGTGAACAATTAATTCAGAGCCCTACGTTTGTTTACTTTGGTCTTGAGACACACAAAGTATTCAAATATCTTTGCATGGCTTATGCGAGATGTAAAGCTATTATACGTACTTACTTAGGATACTGGACTATGTCAACTTTATTCTGACGGTGATGACGAGTACATTTCAAAGTCAGACAAAGTTACATGCTATTCTCTTCATCGCCAGCAAGAGAAGCCATCTCAATACACAAAGATCGTGACCTTCACCAGAAAGGACTCAGCTTGGGTTGCATAATGCTTCACCATTGGAATGCAGCATTCGTCGCTTGTGATAAATACATGTAGTAATCATAGCTTCGAAATAAAGTGGAGGTGTAGCAAAGAAATTGTACTGAATCTCAATGATCTTAATGTAACTCGAGCTGTAAGTGCAAGCCAACTATGCGTAATCATGGGTGACATTTCACTGTTAGATCCTGGAAATGGAAATTGTCTGCACTGGGAATTTTCTCTGAAAACTATCGAGAATTTCTACTTGCTGAAAGTTCATAATGAGTTTGGGAAGCTAACCTAAATGTGAAAAAGTACTCAAGACTTTATGACTGAATAGTTAAGCGTCATTGAGTTAACCTCACTAAAAGACTTAATTGCAGACATGAAAACTGACGAAATCAACTTTTAAGCTTTGCTCTTCCAAGGAGCTTCGCTATTCTAAGGAGTTGAAAGCTGTGCAAAAAAATCAAAATTAGCTATAAGTTTTTATAATATTTCAAACTGAACAATTTTCTGAAGATGCAAACGACTGCTGAATGCAAATCAAACACTTTTGCGTGCTGTGAATTCGATTACTTTTAAACGTAAATCAACATAATATTTTACATACAGGGCTACTTAAAATATATATACGTTTATCGCTGACAGTCTTGTCTAATCAACTCTCAATGGTGCTTAGTTGAATGTTCATAGAAAACCGAAGTTTTGAGAGAAGTTTGTGCCAATCAAAGCATATAATCTCCCAAGAATTGTCCAAACATGGCGCTCTGTTAGCGCATCGCGTAAGCGTAGCCGTTTCTATACATGATTTTCGCTTATTGTTAGATATTAGCCACAGGATTGAAACCAGGACAGGTTTGCCGTGGCCGCAGTTTTTCCGGTAAGTATGAGGAATCCACGTATACTTTCCAGCATTCTAACATATTAATTGTCATTCAGTAAAATCACCTCCGCTTATGTATCAAACGTTCTAGTCAATTTTCTAGAATAGCAGGGGCGATATGCATCAATCTCCCGTTTTGAAAGCGAGCGATCATTTTCAATAGAAACCATACAACATGGGTCCCGCCCCCAACCCGGCCGGGCGATCATTTTCTATTGAAAATGATCACCCGCTTTCAAAACGGGATATTGATGCATACCGCCCCAGGTGAGTGTGTTGAAATGGGCTGGAAGTTTCCACCATAATCCTACAGGAAGAAAGATTGATTTAGTTGGAAATTGAATTCGAGCCAGGTACGATATGCATATTCAGAAGTTATTAACGATCAATCTTATATATGTTTTCAAGACATCCTATACACCTTGTTTGGATAGAATTCTAGCATAAGACCTCGAGCAGAGTTCACTCGATTTCATCGTCGCTATTCGTCGCGACAGACAAGTGTTACGAGTTCATTGCATGGCGATCTTATTTGTATTTCGGTTGTGATATGTAGTTAGTCGTGATTAGTCGTGTTGGAAAACTATCATAATCGAATGTGCAAGAAGATTGGCATGCAATGGCATTGTTATAGTTGTCTGTCGCGATGAATCGCGACGATGAAATCATGTGAACTCTTCCCGAGGACTAACGAAACTCAGAAATAGAATATGATTTTTTTGACGGATCGAATGTATGGATGCAAAGCACATTGTCTGCTATTTGCTACTTTTATGGGAGTTAAAAAAAGGGAGAACTTATACAGCTTTGCAATACTCTATTATGTTTTGTCAAGCTTTTCTGAATTGAATCGGTTTCAATGCAGGGTTAGCTCCTTCTTAATAGGCCAATCCCAGTGGTATACTTGCCTGAAGACCTTACTTCGAGTTGGGACTACTTCTGGCATGAAATGGCTACCTAAAATAGGTAAAGTCTCTGTATGGTTTAGCAAGCAAAAATGAAAAACTTTGAGCTTATTGGCAAGAATTTCGATTTAGAATTAAGAAAAGGCCATTTTTGCGGCCCCAGTAATTATCAACACATTATACCTGTGGCCATATTCATCAACGAACCCTGAGGGTTAAGCTTACCCTCCAGGGTTAGTTTAACCCTCAGGGTTCATTGGCCGTATTCATCAACCATAGGCTAGGGTTTACCACGGAACGCGATCTACCCGTATCGATCAACGAACCTGTGGCCGTATTCATCAACCCTGAGGGTTAAACTAACCCTGGAGGGTTAAGGACGTCAGTTACGCGTGCGCTGTGCAAACTCACATCACAGAATGCCTAAGTACGGGCTGAATTCACTTTATACTTCTATTCTTTCACTGTTATAGTAGTATAGTCAACGAATAAGCTTCTAACACTAGTTTTTATAATACATCTCTAACATACTTGTGCAGCATCCAATCTTACAGCGTGAGTTTATTTTCATGTGTGCAATTGTGCAGTGTAAGTTCTACTTTTGCGCAGTTCGTTTTATACCGGGCTTGTGCTACTCTTTTAGGGGTCAATGCATGTTATTATAAAGGGGTTCTTCTGTTTTGGCACTTGTCAGAGTGGAATACCATTTTCCTCGTCGCATTCATTTGCCACCAAAGCTAGAATTCTTTTTCTCGCGAAGTCAGTGTTTCACGTACTTCGAATATGAACATAAAACGAAGGAAACTAAATACCATAACAACAACCAGTACTAAATATTACAATACTCGTTGATCGTTTCCCATAAACTATTAGATGCGAGTAAATGTTTGTATGAAGTGTTAGGATAGAGTTAACCTTGCTCTGAGCTAGGGTTAAATTAACCCTGATGAATCACATAAGTTTAACCCTCCAGGGTCAGTTTAACCCTCACGGTTCGTTGATGAATACGGGTTAGTCGCTTTCGGGGTAGAATTAACCCTCAAGGTTAGATTTAACCCTTAGGGTTAAGCATACCCTGTGTTTCATGAATACGGATTAAACGCTTTCCAGGGTTAAACTAACCCTCCAGGGTTAGTTTAACCCTCGGGGTTCGTTGATGAATACGGCCACTGCTCTCAAAAGAGATATTTTGCTTAGCGTTATGCACCCAACCGCATCTTCAAGCTCATTCAAATAAGTTGCAAGAGAAAAGAGTTTTAAATGACATTTAGAGTTATCGCTGTCTTCTTTTCAATGCTGGTGACTATGAAATCCCGACACGTGTAGCGCAATCTTGCTCACCCTCCATCGCGATCTGGTGAAGCCGCCGCAGTATTCAAGGATTCTAAACTTTATCAGAAAGGACGGTTTCTGGAATGCATGATGTCTCACTATCGGGACAAAGCATTTCATTGTTTGCGGTCTCAGTATGTATTTCTGAGAACGCCTTTGTATTATTAGAAAGGTGAATTGTAGCTGAAAAGATCTGCGCTAGGACCTGATCAATGCACATAGCTTTAGCTCTGAATGCAAGTCAGTGTTGCATAAATATGCATATCAGTTCAACTGTATATATTTACACATGCTCCCTAAACGGTGACAATAACTTTAGTGACATCTTTGAAACTCCTCGCGTCAAAACAGTTCATTTTTTTGGTCTCATTGACAAATCAAGTCTAAGTAGATTCCTCCTTGAAACAATGCGACAGGCAAATCTTCTTCGAAGCTGGGTCAAGCTTCAAATAAGTGCAGTCGTCACACTGAAAATACGTTATTTATTGGTGTGAGCAGAGAAGAATGGGTAAAAAAGCAGATACATACGTGAGGAATAGCTTGCGTTGAGAAAATCACCAGAAGCGCAAGAATAAGTTGCCTCAGTAACCACATATGCAGCGAACTACAAAAAGAAACACAAAATCTTCATATGTCTTATGTCGTCTAAGGCCTCGGACATAGTTCACGCGATTTGATCGTCGCGATTTTCATTCGTTTTCATTTTACATTCAAAAATTTCGAGCTGGAAAAGTATCACAACCGGAATGCAAGCTGATCGGCATGCAATGAACTCGTAACAGTTGTCTTGTGGCAATTAAACCGCGACGATCAAATCGCGTGAACTCTGACCGAGGCCTAACTGGGACTAACAAAGAATCCAATAATAGAAGTGAGAAAATGATGTTAATATCGCTTGTTTGACAAAGCTGTGGGAATAGATTCTACTTGATCGCATTGGGTAAGTTGTACAATATGCCTTTCAAACAATAGCAAGAAGTTGGATGGACCAGCTTTTGCCTGAGGAATCGGATCGCCGCCGAGAAGAATCGTGCGGATTTCCAGCTTGCTCACGCATAATTCCAAACGCTAGAACCACATGTACAGTTTTTGCATTTTTCTATCGCAAAAAATTGAGCGGAACAAAAGGCAAGAGGAAGACTCCAAAATTATCACTTTTTCTAATTTCTTTATTCTAGATTCGGTATTTTCTAAAACTAAAGGCAATAGAAGGCCAAAAGCTCACGGTCATACTTTCCAAGTTTTGTAGGATAGAATTATTTTCCTAAGAACAGCCTAGCACTTTGCCAAAACTATACCAATTTTCTCTCAAATTTCAGCACAAAAGATGCAGCAATTGTGTACATGAATGTCTGATGTGGAGAGCATATAAGTCAGCGAAAGGGAATGGTGATCAGACTTGGTGTGAATAATCTAACGCCCTAATAGAACTTGCTCCATTGAGATATACGTGTCCCAAAAAATGTTCGTACTGTTTTATTGTTAATAACTCTCTTATAGTGAAGTCTTTAGGGAAGCTTTAGGTACCTTTTGTAGAGCTAGCTTTAGCTTAGATTTACAGTATAGAAAGTATCATCCATCTCTCTTCATTACTGTAGAATTACGATAGAAACTTCAAGGAGGATTTTGAGCTATGAAAGGCCTATTTTGCTTCAAAAAGGAAATAAAGCAGCCTGAAAACTTTCACACTGGGCTAATTAAAGTTGCTAATTCTAAATGTGAAGTAGCGACCTTTTTTTGATGTTCCTAAAACTGCGGTTACACCGTTTGGAAAGCTTTGCAATCTTGTACATAATTAGATATTGAACTCAGTCCACGAAAACCCTATTACACAGGTTTTCACATTTTTTTGAGTTTTTTGAAAAGGCAGCTTTTTTCACATGTCACACATATTTTGAGTTC